CCCGTATGATCAATACTAAGAGAAGGAAGATGGAGATCAAGATAAGTCCCCATAGTAAAAGCATATGAAGTTTCAACTTCTGAATCACTCACTAAATCAATCATATTATCGATTATCCTAACTAGAAAACAAGAAATGCCAAATATAAAGCTTGAGTTAAGAAAGTACATGATTATATCGTATTGATTGTCGCGGTGAGAATTGGATATCAAGTTATTGATTAATTTGAATCTTAATTCATTGGTTCACCACCGGTTTTTAATTTGTCCAAAGGAAGGGGAAAAGATTGAATTACCCATAATGCAATGCAAATGCAAAAGCTAGAGAGTTTAGGTTTGGGGGTTGGTTAAACTTAGGGAAGGTGCTAGCATCCTAAGTTTTTGTAGTACTCTACAAGAACCTCTTGTTTTATCGTGTTATTGCTAAGGATTATCTATTTAAGGATGAAAGACCTAGTGGTTTAATTCTAAGTATACTCGCCAAGACGTCGCATCTTGTGCCTAAATATCCTGACGGGAATGGAACCAGAGTATTTGTAGTTCCCCTAAAGGGTTTGAGGAATCATTGACTGTTGGTCAAAGTTCCAAAGGGATAAGGTTTTGTTGATTGATTGGTTCTGAGAAAATACGAGTCGTCATCTTAAGGGAGAACACTCGACTTAACCACCACAACTTGTAGGAGATGGTCTTTGCATCGTCTTGAGAGAAGGGCTCAAACACTCGGATTCACCGACGAGTATGCCTCTATCTCTCTCAAGCGGAAAAGATCTTATATCTCATGATTTGTGTTATGGGGTAGGAGAATTATATCTCGGCGGTCAAGATGACTCACGTCTAATTCTCTAATAGGGGATAATAGTTTGATTGAGTTGAATATGGTTTATCTAAGTTGTAAAAGAAAAAGATCCTCCTTATGGGGTAGGATCTAAACTTAAACTGATCGACTTGAAAAGGATCAAGGATCAAGCGGGGAAAAAAATGATGCATATAAGGTGCAATACGCACGACTTGTGAAGTCATGCGCAAGTTCTTCCTTTAGACATTATGCGATGCGATAAAAATAAATAACGGTAAAATACAATCCATACAAACAGATATAAAATACTAAAGGACAGGGCAAACACGGGGTCATGAAGATTCAAAATAAATCGGAGGATAGGAAGAGATGGAGACGCGTTGATTAAGTTTTATGCGAGATTGATTTTAAGAAAAAGTTATATTAATGGGAATTAGTTTTAGTAAAAGGTTTTATGTGTGAATTAATTAAATTCTAATGAGTGATTTTAAAAAAAAGGGAGAGGTTTTCATATTTTATCTTATTAAATAAATAAAAATTAATTAATGAAAGGTTCATTTTTACATAAAAGCGGTGGTTATTATTAGAGTTAATTTAATTGAGAAGAGATTTTTTTTAACACATAAAATAGTTTTTAGTTTACCAACTAGGATAAATACAAATCATTTTAAATTATAGAAAATAGGTCATTTTTATTATTTAGAAATAGGAACAATATTTAATAAGTAAAACTGAGTTACTAAATTGATAGATTAAATAAACTAATAACATTGAATTTATTAATAAAATTATTTGAGAAAATTAATTATATAAAAAGTTATTTAATTAGGAGAAAAAGTTAATTTAAATAAAAAAGGTTTTATTGGTTCAATTAAATTAAAGGCTGATAAAAAGGTTAATTAAATGGTTAGTTAAAAATTTAATGATTTAAAATGGGTTAATGAAAGATTTTAGATTAATGATATTAGTTATTAGGTTAATTAATAAAATTAGCTTAGGTTAATTATTAAATTGAAATTAAGTGGCAGATAAAGGGAGATTAAGAAGTTTAATTAGGGGGGGGGGGGGGGGGGGGGCGTGTGATCTGGTGTGTGCAGGTGCGTGGGTTTAACATGGGCGTGCGAGTGATGGGCATGTGATGAGGATCAAGTGGGGAACGTGTGGTGATGATCACAAGGGTGCACGGTGATAACGTGGTCGTGCGTGCATAAGATTACATGATACATAATAAAATAAATAAAAAAAAAACCCTAAAAGCCAATCCCCCATTCTTTCTGCCGTTTCTTTGTTTCTCGGCTCTCTCCCTCTTCTTATATTTCACGATTTTTCTTCCTCCCTCCTCTTTGCATGTCGCAATTCTCCAATCTTTCTCTTTCAACCGCCATGACCTTTCCCTCTTCTTCTTCTTATCGCCTGAAACAAACAAAGAAAACAACAAAACAATGGTTAATGGTTTCATTCTCTGAGTCCTAGCGGTGGTCCTTTCCCTCGTGGTTGGCGGCGATTTAATGAACTTGTTCGTGGCGGTTTCGTGACGGTTTTTGTTGGATTTTCGTTTTGTTGTGATTCTTTTTATGACGATGATGAGAAAATCTGAGCCTCTTCTTTTATGATTTCTGGACTTTTGATGGTGGTTTTGCAAACTGGGTTTTGAATGTTCTTGAGCGACGATGATGGACGACGAAGGGACAACCCTCGCGTCCTCTAAGTCTGAAGGTTTGGCGGATTTGCGGTTTTGATTCTTTGTGAGTTTTGAGGCGATGATGAGTGAACTTTTTGCTCTGAGCCTTTTGAGTTCTTCTTCCTCTTTTTATATAGCCCAGACTCAAAACGGTTTAAAGTGAACTTTAAAAGACCTTCCTTTTTCGGGTTGATCTTGTCTGAAAATGATTTGGAAAGTTTTTGCAAATCTCAAACTTCTTGATTTGTTTTCTTTTGATGCTGATGACGGTTTCGAAAATACTTCAGATCTGTTTGGCTTTTTGTTCCAATTCGTTTATGACATAAATGGTTGTGTTTGCTGTCCGTGTTGTTTTCGAATTTGATGAACCGTGTTTCCATTTTTGGATTTTCTTATTGATGAAATTTCTATTTCGGATGATTTGCTGTTGATGGTGATATTTGTCTGTGATCTTTGCTGTACTTTCCACTTTACGGTTTATGGTTGCTATCTTAATGGTTGCCGCTAGACACTGTCCATTGACGCCTTCGGATCTGGATACATTTGGAAACTTTCACTTTTATGACTTGCTGTCATTTTGGAAAATTATCTACTTGGTTTGTTGGGGGGAAACATGTGTTTTCCTCTTCTTCTTTTTTTGGCCAAAAACACTTTTACAAAATCTTAAGAACAAACTTCTGCCCTGATTTCTTGCTTGATGTTGCTATGTGAGAATGTACTTGGTGATGATAACATTAGTCTGAACCGCTTCGGAAATGTCGTTAATGGTTCTGTCCACATTTGCCAGGAGTTGGCGACATCCCAGATGTTGCCCTTCCGTCTTTGGCCCGATGATGATACCTTTCTGAGGGTAAAAAAACGGTAAAACTCTTCCTTTGAATTCACTTGCAGATCACTAACTATTTTGGCCATTGTTTTGCAGGTGCAATAGATGATGGAGAACAAACTCGAAGACACTCTGGACTTTAGAATATCTTAGGGTAGTCCTTAGGAAATAGTCTTAAGAGCTTCTTTGATGTAACCAAATAAGTCCAAAAATAGTAACCCTTGTAGCTTGTATCTTGTAAATAAAATGTGAATCAAAACGATAAATAAATAAAAGTCTTATGTTCCAATAAACAATCCTGATTACAAACTCAAATCTGATGCGCATGGTTGACTTAAAAGAACTTGAACACTTGTAATCAAACGTTCACTTCCCGTCCTTGGATATTTTAATAAAACTGTCTGGCCAAATCTCGAGAAACCCAATAATACGTCTAAAACACCACAATTCCAACTGTGATCTTGATTTGCAAATTAAAACGGCTTGAAAATGGCACTCAGAACACTTCGACCAAATAAAACTCGATCAATTGGCGTGCGGACCCAAAATATTACTGCAATGTCTTGAAAAATCATAAAATCCAAAGTATAATCAATTTGACTCTTTTTTAGAAATATGGCTATGTGACCTTGCAGACTTCTTGATAAAGACAATGCGCCCAGAGATAGTCGGAGGCGCTTAAATTTGATAGAAACAGTATCGCTAATCTTGGCGTACCTGCACAAACTTGTTAGTCACAATAAACATGAATATGAAATTATAAAGCCAAAAATAACGCAAGGAATGCACAAAGGAGGTGGGATCTTAAAGTAAAAAATTAAGGTGTGACATTGATAAAGCAAAAAGAATGGAAAAAAGACGAAAACTTTGAGTGAAATGCTGAATCGCTTTTAGCGATACTCTTATAGAATAAAAAACAAAGACGTTTTTCTAGAAAGTAATCGTAAGCTTGAAAGCTAAAGGGTGATAAAACATCCAAACACTCAACTAAATCTATTTATAAGTAACGACAACTGAAAGATCAAGATCAATTATGGAAATAAATCACGAGATCAATGACTAGATTTTCACTCATGGATACACGCCAACTTGAGTGCACTCAAGTACTATGTAAAAACCACCATACCCTAGCTGATTACATCACTGCACGTGTTAGAAAACGGGGACAGAACATTTCAATAATGGAACCCCATTAAACGTGTTTGTTCCCCATTACTTTTTTTAAAATTGATCCCAAGCGTTTCAGTTTCATTCCACATCAGACCACAACATGTAAGATGGTCAATGATACTTAAGGCTTCCTCGATTCCTTCAACGTCCGAAAAAGCCTCGGGGACAACTTCAAACTATAAATATTTTGTAATCGAGAGAGTGTTAGGATAACACCAATAATAAAAAAGATGATGGAAAATAAACTTAAGATAATTTGAACATGTATAAGAAAGATAATAATAAAGAATAATTCAATATAATTTTTATTTAAAACTTTTATAAATTTTAAGTTTAAACATAATTTTTATATTAAAATTTATTGTTCAAATTAATTTTGCATAAAACCAAAGACCTACATTAGACAAATATAAGTCATCCCTTATTCTCACGGTTTTTGAAGAGACTGACATGTCCAATAGTTAGAAACTTCTATCACCACCGAAAAATAAAGAAATAGAAGATAGCTTAGCCTCAATGGAAGCCTAAATGGAACTTTCCGCATTCTCCAACTTCAAACTTGTTTCTAATTCTTCCCTTTTCCATTTCACCTCGAATCAATTTCGCTCCCGATTCTCTCTTTCTCTTCGTCACTACCATTATGGCTGTCGGTGTCGCAATTCAAAATCGGTACCGCAGATCAGGATGTACTCGGAGAAGCTTCAGCCGTCGAGCGGTTACGGTGGAGTTGATATCCGAGAAAACAAATCCGATTTCGTCGAAGTGATTGCCATTGGCGGTAGGAAGGACGCGGTTCTTGATTTCTGCTTGAATTCGCCATTTCAGTTGTCTTCTCTGCGCTTTTGGTAACTGTAATCGTTTTTATGCGGTATTGTCGTTGTTAAGTTGGGTGAATTGAAAAATTTAAACTGTTGCGTTTGACTTTGGAGTGTGTCAGGCTATTCAGTGGATGTAATGTAATGGATTATTTGTTTTGTAACTCGGAATCTAAATGTCGATCACTATTATATTTGCTACTTCAGGATTTTCTATTAGGTTTGGCAAAAATTGATTTTCTACCTCTCATATTTGATGATTATTTTAGTGTACTTAGAAGAGAGATTGGTGATTCAAATAGAGAGAAACTTAGCAAAGGTAGGGATCTAAAGGTAGAGAATTCCTACATATATAGCATGGTAAGAGAGAGTTGAACTAGCAACAAACCTTATCTACAACGGATTTGTTTGGCTAAGTGCCAAATTATGGATAATAATTAGTTCAAATTATTTGTAGATGATTATGTTTGTTTTAAACATTTTCTAGCTGGCTCTGTGTAATGAAAAGTTGGACAAAAGTTTGTAGTTACTTTTGCTAGTTTTGGGAATTTAAATTTCCGTTCTAGCATTGTTATTTATGACAGCGGAAATTGATCACGAATAATAGTGGTTCGGTTTTAAGAAAAAATGGGAAATGGCTATGTTGATTATTCCAGAAATGATGGGTATTCTGCAAATGAAATAGTGTCATGAGTGTGACTATTTTGTGAGAGAGCCGTTTGTCACATAAAGCATTTTCCTCACTCTTCATTTGGATTGAACAAGGGAATTGAATCAGCTGCCATTTTTGAAATAACTGCAACTCATGCAGTTTTTATCCTATGGCTTAAAATATATTTTCACGAAAAGCTTTAGATCTCCTGATCTTGAAAGTAATTTATGAAATAATTAGTAAGATTGGATTAGCATTGTTGACGGTCTCTTTGTGCCTGATATCAAATAGTACATCATTTATAGTGTACAATAAATAACTTCAGGCTGTAGTTTGATATATTATTTTTTCGTTGCAGAAAAAATCTAATTTATTTTGGAATTGCTTTTCGTTTGCATCATTTTGAATTTGTCTCGATTTATCAATATCCTGCAGGAATGTCATTGTAAAAGATTCACAGGATGTGCAACTACAACAAAGGCCTACTAAAAAAGGTTTTCCTCTCAGTTCTGATTCTTCTTCACTTGTTCTTCATCATGCTTTGCATTTCACTACCAAAAATGAAACATAAACCTCAATTCAGAATACAGACTCATTATGTAAGTCACAGCTTTCCAATAAAATAGAAAATAAGTAAAGAAACAGGGCAAACGCCTTGTCTCAAAAATGAAATTCAGTTCAAATATCCATACATATCTCACACTCTGGTTAAAAGGTACTGAATACTGATAGTTGATGTTATTTCTGCAGAACCTTGCTCAGGAATTCTCAAAGCTCAAGTATTTATGAAGTCATGCTCAAAGACCATTGTCCTTGTTTGTACATTCCTTTCCTTAATACTCATAGTAAAATCTTTGTTTCAATATTGGTGATCTTCATACATTAAGTCACCTCAAGCGTAGTTTGCTTTATCCTTTTGGACTGATGTTGTAAAGTTCACAAGTCAACTGAACTACTTAAATTTGTTATTCATCACCATAGAAAATATATTTTATAACTGAAATTCTAAGGCGTGACTTTTTGCATTATTAGATATGGTAAAGCTGGCTGACATGAATTACGATGTTTGGTTGCCTTAAGATGTATTTTTCCAGCCATGATTAGTGAAAGTAGTAGTCTAAATAGACCTTTTGTTATCCCCCATTTTTTTCTTTAGGTGGCTAGTGCAGGATATGGATCAGACCACACCGTCGCTGTTGATATTTTTGAAACTATAAGGTCCATAAATGGACTCACAGTTGCTGTAGTTTTGAAGCCATTTAGCTTTGAAGGGTTGAGACGAAAAGATGAGGTATTAACGTCGCTTTGTATAATATACTTCACTGCTATAATGGTTTGTCAAACAAAGCTGCATGCAATGTGATGAATAATTAAGTGAGATCAGCATATCAATTATGATTTCTCACAGAAATGGCACAGGAAGTTATTAAACATCTTAATATTTTTCACTTAATGATTGCCTTAGTTTCCTCGTTTAATCAGTTGTGTTTTGTAGTTCAAGCATTTTTGTCCACGTGATATAATAATTTGTTTATGAATTCTCAGGTAAAAGTTTTGATGGGGAAACTTAAGGAGAATACTAATTTACTTATTGGTATGTGCTATATATTTACAGCTTTTTCCTGGTTTATTGGTTTTTCCCAAAGCCATGAACTTATATATATAAGCCACTCCATAGTCCAGACCCATGTCCATGAGACTAACAAACCCAACTTACACTTACCATATATCAGATTGACCAATATTGATTCTATAACTAATTTGCTTACACATATCATGTACCAAACAAAGGCATTGGGCCAACTTGTGACATATGCCTCAATAATGGGCAAATCAGCAATCATTAACACAGTTAAATCTTCTTTTCAGAAATATATACTTTTGCAAAATTTTCTTTGCAAATCACCTTATACTCATAAGAAGTATAAGAATTATTTGAAGACCAATTATTGGATAGAACTCAACTGAATTTTACTTCCAACATGCCACACATTCAAAAGAACTTCGATCAATATCTCCTAAACATACTCAAAGTTGACACAATTATCAAAACATTTATTCAAACCATCCAAACTGCCGGCAATACGAAAAAAGGCATTCTTCAGAGTTTCTCAAGTGACCATTGGGATTAAGGGTGGATGCTGGAAGTTGTTTAAAGTTCATGTGAATGAAACTAATTAAAGTTGAATAGGAGAAGCAAGAGAAGTATAATTTATTTGTAATAGGATCACCAAAGCGCCCACAAAAAGTCTGAATTTTGCTCACTTTTATTGTTTATGAGACAGAAATTGACATTGATGCACTTCTCAAAAAAGACTTGTTGACTCTAGATGAGGCTATGAAGACTGCAAATGATGCTGTTTTGCTAGCTATTAAGGCCATATCAGTTCTAAAATCAGTTAAGTTTCATTTTCAAGTATTTCTCTTGCTATTTGTTTGTGTAAAAGTATCATATGGTTAAAGACTTATAGATGGAATGTTTTACAGGAAATGCACAGAAAATTTATAGATAGATTGCACAATAGCATGGAAGAAGCCTGCAATTCAGAAATTATTAAAGTAAGTTTCTAAGATTTTCATCAACAGTTCAGACATTTTCCCCAAACATGTTGCATTATAGCCCTGTTTATATCTTTCTTGAAACGGGACCAATCTTGATTATCAAGGCACTCTATTTTTCTAAAACCCGTCTCACTATGTACAGATATTGGAATGCTATAAAGAAGCCAGAATTGGATTCGGGGCTGCTTATAATATCAAAACTTCAATTTTGCAGTCTATATTTGATAGTCCTTTCCTGGGTGCTTCTTTGAAGGTATCACCTGCCTTAAATATTCAAGTCTATTAGTTATTTTTTCTTTGTTTGCGCATCATACAAATGCATGTTTTTTGTCGCCCAAAATGACCATATTGCTGGTAGATCCTTTTTAAGAATGGTTTCCTCTGCCTGTTTTAGATTCATTTTCTAAAAATAATTGATCGTAAGCGTTTAGTTTTTTATTTTCTGATTCTTATTCCTTCTCTTCCAGTGTATAAAATTATAATTACCATTTTTTTCAGGATCCAAATAGTGCAGTTATATGCATTATTGCGTGTTCTGAACCCATCAATGATAGTGATATAGCAGTCTTTCTGCGTACTTTCCGTCAAACAACAGAATACACGAGGGATATTATAATATCAACAGTACTTGAGCCCGATGTCGAGCCCAACCTACTAATCACAACTGTCCTTACACTTGGGTAAGTATTCTTGTTTTTTTGCAGAGAGAAGGAGACTTGTGTAATCATCTATCTCCCTTGAAGTTGTGAATGCTTGTTAGTAAACTTATTTTCTGTTGCTGAATTTGATGGCAATAACTCCCTTACTGTTGATGTTGTATTAGGATGGACACTTAGCATGATTTATCTACATGTGATGTGACCATTGATGCACAGATGCGATACTCATATCGGATACAATGTTACATTGATCCTTAAATAACATAGATACAATGCGCTTATTATTTAGATTTAGGTTATTATACTATTTTTTAAAATGCATTATTATTATTATACTATATGCTATGTTTTAAATAAAAAGCAACAAAAGAGAAGCCAAATACTCAAATTGAGCCATTGAGTAAAATACTCAAATTGAGTCCCAATAAGCATTAAAGAAGAGCCTCAAAAATCAAGTTTGAATAACATGCCCCAATTCCTAAAACCCTAGTATTAACCTCTCAGCAGCTAACTATTGCTGCCACCACTATTTAAGAAAATAAAATTCAGTTACGCATGTAAGAGAAAACAGCCGCACATGTTCTTAGTGTGAGAAAACAGATGCATATGGCTTAAGCAAGAGATGCAAGATGGGAGACGCAAGTGCGACACGTCTACGACGGGTCAAATGGCGTGTAGATGTGTCACTGTTTTTAAATTAAAAAAGAAACAGATCTTTGAGACTCCACCGGCACGTGTCGCCTGCTTATCACGCCATATCAGCGTATTGATACGTATCGGCAATATCCTCAAGATGTAATGTATAGGCGTGTGGGAGCATGTGCGACACGTCTACGACGAGTCAAATGGCGTGTAGATGTGTCACTGTTTTTAAATTAAAAAAGAAACAGATCTTTGAGACTCCACTGGCACGTGTCGCCTGCTTATCACGCCATATCAGCGTATTGATACGTATCGGCAATATCCTCAAGATGTAATGTATAGGCGTGTGGGAGCATGTGACTCAAAGATTAAATGGGTGGATTTTGTCTTTTTTTTCTGTTGTCTCTCTCTGCATCTATATTAAAGTTTAGAAATCTTTTTGCTGGTTAAATGATGCTAGCTTTGACATATTATGCATGCCTTCAGTGTTATCCCCGTGTTGTACACGGGCCTTGATAGAGATTCTTTTTTCTTTTTGATTTCATGTGTTGTATTTGCATCATACATAAACAGGAGAAGTGAGAAGTATTTCTTTGCTATATCTTGATAGAGTAATAGGGTTCAAGTCGAAGAATAATAAGTGATTAATGTACCAGAAATTGCTAGGAATAATAAGAGTATATTTATTATTTCTTTGCTATATCTTGATAGAACTTCATACATAAACAGGAGAAGTGAGTAATAGAGTTTGATAGAACTTGATAGAACTTCATACATAAACAGGAGAAGTGAGTAATAGGGTTTGATAGAACTTCATACATAAGGTGAGAGGTGCCGCTCTATATAAACTTTTTGTAGATTGTATCTTTAACCAATGTGGGACTTGAGTTTTTTCCAATACACCCCCTTACGCCCAACACTATTGAGTTTTTTCCAATACACCCCCTTACGCCCAACACTATTGAGCTTGGTGCGTGGATATAAACGGTGGGTGACTCGAATTATCGATATATGAGACTTAGTTTTTCTAATACACCCCCTTGCGCCCATCACTTTTTGGGCTTGGTGCGCATATATAAATGGTGGGTGGTCCAAATCGATAAGCTCTGATATCATGATAGAATTAGAGTTTGGCCTAACTCAATCCTACAAAACCGGTTGGTAAGTTGAGGGGTGTCCCTCTATATAATCCCTTTGTAGATTGTATCATTAACCAATGTGGAACTTAGGTTTTTCCTAATATGTAAAGAAATGTGGTTGGGTTTAACTCAACTCTACAAAACCGATTGGTAGAGTGAGGATTGCCCCCACTTCTAAACACATGTTCATGTCATATATTGTCCGATGTGAGACTCTTAACACAAACTCTCACGCCCAGGACTGGACATCTGGAGCGTGAAAATAAATGGAGGGTGGCCGATAACGGAAACCTAATAGAAGGTGGCCCGCCGGATCTTAAACGAGGCTCTTTATACTATGTAAAGAAATGTGGTTGGGTCTAACTCAACCCTACAAAACCAGTTGGTAGAGTGAGGATTGCCCCCACTTATAAACACATGTTCATGCCATATATTTTCCGATGTGGGACTCTTAACACACCCCCTCACGCCCAGGACTGAACATCTGGAGCATGGAAATAAATGATGGGTGGCCTGATAGCGGAAATGTCCACCGAATCTTAAACCAGACTCTGATATGATACCATGTTAAGAAATTGTGGTTGGGCCTAATTCAATCCTACAAAACCAGTTGGTAAGGTGAGGGGTGTTACTCTATACAAACCCTTTATAGATTGTATCTTTAACCAATGTGGGGCTTGAGTTTTTCCCAATACACCCCCTCACGCCCAACACTATTGGGCTTGGTGCGTGGATATAAACGGTGGGTGGCCCGAAATATCGATATATGAGACTTGGTTTTTCCAATAGACATAAAAGACTTATTGGTTGATAAGCTGACTCAATTTCTAAGTGCATCTGTTATATAATCTAAACTACTAATCATTTTCTTAACCTTAATACTTTTTGGCATTCATTAGACCATTGCTTTTCTATGTGTTAGAATTAGAGTTTGGCGTAACTCAACCCTACAAAACCGGTTGGTAGAGTAAGGACCACTTATAAACACATGTTCATACCATATATTGTTCGATGTAGGACTCTTAACACACCCCCTCACACTCAGGACTGTACAACTGAAGCGTGGAAATAAATGGTGGGTGACCCGAAAGCGGAAACCATAGAAGGTGGCCCACCAGATCTTAAACGAGGCTCTTGATACCATGTTAAGAAATGTGGTTGAGGCATTTGGTAGATGACGTAGAGAAGTAGTAGAGACCTTGAGACTTACATCCGACGCCAATCGTCTGTCCCGAACTTCGATCCTGCAGAGTAACATTACTATTAGTAAAGGTGATAGAACAATTAAGGGAACAAGTTAAACGACTGACTGACAGTAAATTAAATGGGCAATTAGGTACATATAGGACATAAGTAACATGATCAGACGTACCAGAATCGAGGACCCAAGGACCAAGAGGAGATGATTGAGATAAGCAAACAGATGAATTATCAGTATGTGCAACCGAAGCAGTGGAACCAGAGATCTGATTAGTCTGACACCACCTGAGAAAATCCTCGTAGCTTGGCGTAGGGTTCTGAATAGAAGGTGAAGTCTGCATAGTGTCTGGGTTATCACTTTGAGCTGCATTTACCTGCATTTACCTGGCGTGGGAGTTTGCCATGTAGCTTCCAACAACGGTCGATAGTATGTCCAAACCGGTTACAATGGTCACACTTGAGACGAGGTTTGGAGTTGGATGACCCTCCTCGAGGGCGATTCTGATTGTTGCCAAGAGATGCGAGGGCAGCAGTGTCACCTGGTGTTGGAGCAACAGTAGATGAATGGGAAATCAGACCAAACGCATGAGGTGTAGCCAAGCGCAACAGTTGTTTACTAACTGCATCATAGTTAGGAACAGGAGTACCTGATAAAATCTGGTTACGAACGGAGTCGAGTTCGGATGGTAGTCCTTTAAGTGCCATGACCATGACAAATTTACTCTATTGTTTGGCATGAGCTGTTACATCTTTTGCGTACGGCATGAGGGTTGCGTAACTTGCTTTCAAGGCATCGAACTTACTCAGATAGGTTTGCATACTCACATTTTCCATCTTCAGTGTGTCAAGTTTGAGAATGACACTGTATAGACAATGAACGTCGTTGGAGAAGACTTTCTCGATCTTTTCCCAAATCTCATAGCAAGTGGAGAAGGTTTGATATTGCGGTTGGAGGTTAGGTGCTATGGATATTTTGGAAGAAACAGGTTTGTTAAATGCTAAACTAGCCAATACTCCTATGGATCAAAGTGTTAAACTACTATCCAATCAGGGGGAGCCTCTATTTGACTCAGGAAGGTATAGGAGATTGGTTGAAAAGTTGAATTATCTCACAGTCACTCGTCCAGACATTTCTTTTGCAGTCAGTGTGATAAGGCAGTTCTTAAATTTCCCTTGTTAGGAACACATGGATGCTGTTATCTAGATTCTGAGATACATCAAATGTGCTCCAGGAAAAGGTCTTGTGTATGAGGATAAAGGATATACCCAGATAGTTGGATACTCCGATGTTGATTGGGCAGGGTCACCCATTGATAGACGATCCACCTCTGGGTATTGTGTACTTGTTGGAGGAAACCTTATATCCTGGAAAAGTAAGAAACAAAATGTAGTTGCAAGATGAAGTGCCGAGGCAAAGTATAGGGCCATGATAATGGCAACATGTGAACTTATTTGGTCAAAAATGTTGCTCAAAGAACTTCAAATTGAAGAAGTAAGACCAATGACACTTATTTGTGGTAATCAAGCTGCGTTGCACATTGCTTGATCCAGTTTTCCATGAGAGGACCAAACACATTGAGATAGATTGTCACTTTGTCAGAGAGAAGATCGAGTCAGGCGACATCGTCACAAGCTTTGTCAACTCTAATAATCAATCGGCAGATGTGTTTACAAAATCCCTACGAAGTCACAGAACTAACTATATATGTAACAAGCTTGGTGCTTTTGACTTATATGCTCAAGCTTGAGGGGGAGTGTTATTTGTAAATATATATAGTGTTAAGAATATTTGTATATAGAATAGTCCCATATCGACTATATCATGTAGTTGTAATCTATCTATATATAATAATGTCTCCGTAGTGCTTTTCGAAACACACGGTTTAATTTAAATGTCTCTTAGTCTCTCTTATTTTAACACTATGCATAGCCGGTCCCAAGACCGGATAAAAAGAGAGGATTGTGTTAGGCAGTCGACAACCAATGTAAAACTTTGTCGAATCTCTATGACATGGATCAAATACATAATTTATTAGATCATTGTTACTTGGTTGTTGATTACTGTGGCCTGTGTAATTTTGATGGCGTGAATCAGACCAGTTGTAACCAATGGGATTAGGTTTTTCTTTATTTGTTAAGTATTTGAGGTCCATACTTCCATTCCAAGAATTTCTGACCTGTTTCCCTCTTCATATGATTATAACAGATTAACCGTGCAACAACCTTCCCAGAATGGTGGTATACTATCCAAACTTGCCCGGCATTTTCCTCTTGTTTTTAGCTTTTGGGGAAGACATAGTATGCCACAAATTGTCTCTGGGAAAGAGGATGCAGTATCTTCTCATGAAATGATGAGATCTTATAACATTGATGAGGGGGAAAGTGTGGTTATTCCCAGTACTGTTGATGACAGATTTGACAAGCAGTATGCAGAGTTGGCGGCAGATGTGAGCAACAACAGCTCAAAGTTCTCTGTTTCAAGGTTTCGTCTCTATCTTACTTACATAATCTTACATGCAGATTCTCTCTTTTTCTTCTCCTATTTGCAAACAAATATATCCTACCTTACATTACATGGCAGGGATTCTGAAGAAAATGAAGATTCATTTGACAACATAGCCAATTCTCCTATCCCTTATGATTCCATTAAAGAAGAAGGTAATTATGAGAGATGGATAACTATTTTCTGTGTTGATGTACTTGACAATTGTTGAATAATTTCTATTTTTGGTGTTTTATTGTTCAAATTCTAATCAACATGCAATAGACGAATCTGCTTTTCAGAGGGAACAGCTTGGAAACTGGAATCTGGGCCCTGGATTTGAAGTGGCAAAAGAGTGGGCCCAAGAAAGGGAAGCTGATGTTACACCAGTGGTTGATAGCCTAAGCATATTCCACCTTCCTGTTGGTGTGAGGCCTTCAGAAGAGTTGAAAGACAGTCTAGAAATCTCATATATGTCAAAAAAGCACGAGCCAGATGCAGGCGTGGAAGCAGTGATGGAATTTACATCTTCACTTTTGAAGGCAAAACGTGCTAATAGTAATAAGCCAAAGAAGCACGGTGTTCTGTCTGTTCGTGCTGCATCTATGCTGGTAAAAGTTACTGGAATTTTCTTATGATTGCCCATATATTATTGAAAGAGAGAACATTAGCAATGTTCTAACAGTACTATTAATGATATTTGTGAGAAAAAGTGTTGTCAGATTCTACAGCCGACAATGTTAAGGACAAAGTTCTTTGTGGTTATACTTTGAGGAATAAAGGAAGTGTATACTTAGTTCCATTAAGATTGTTAGTTTAATGATAAAGTGGCAGATCAAACTTTGCAACTATCATTACTTCGTTTGTTTTAAACTTTCCCTTATGTTGTAAATTTGAAAATATATTTCAATCCCAAGTGGTAAAGATTTTTTAGGATTGACTTTATATTAACAGGAGGCAGAACGCGATTTGTCAATAAAGTGGAGTCCTGTTGTGGAAATACAATATAGGGGAGGAAGATACAAGGGACGATGCCAAGGTGGTCTGCCTGAAGGGAAGGTAAATCCTTGCAAATATGTAATAGCAAGCAGAACTTGTTCCAGCTAGACTCATGAACTTCTTTTTTCCATTTTTTTGGCCAACAAGCTGAAGAGAATATCTATGTTAAATAAAAATCTGCAATCAGGGGCGTCTTGTTCTTCGAGATGGAAATATCTATGACGGTTTATGGCACAGTGGCAAGAGATCAGGTCCAGGAACATTTTATTTCAAGAACGGAGATATGTTTCAAGGATCGTGGAGGGATGATGCCATGCACGGCAAGGTTTGTAGTTGTACCCTTTTAAAATTAACTCTTGTGATACAGTCAAAACTCAACATGAAAAATAAGTAAATTTTAAAATCATTTTTACTGTTGATATGTTGTATGATTGTATTTATACTCAAACTACCGTGGTATGTAAGTCTTCTATCAGCTGTTATTGTAATGGGGGTTTGCTTTGCCAAAATTTCTAATTTATGTGCGGATGAGAGCGATTGTCTGTATATACACCAGTGAAAATTTTAGTAATAATAAGTATGCTGTCATACAACTTCAAGAAAAATTTTTGGTTAACAAAGATCCAATTGTTGGCAATTGCTATGTTGATCTTGTACACACTAATTTTTAGCAATTTTAGAGAGCCGTAAGTAACAAAGTGATTGCTTTTTATATACGTTTTGAAGTGTGTCGTGCATTATAATGCTGGCTATTACTTTGGTAAAACCCTAGAATAAGGTAACTGATGCTTATTAATTATGTAGGGTTGGTTTTATTTTCACACTGGTGATCGGTGGTTTGCAAACTTCTGGAAGGGAAAGGCAAATGGAGAGGGGCGGTTTTATACAAAGTCTGGTGATGCCTTCTTTGGCAGTTTCGAAGACGGATGGCGACATGGCCAGTTTCTTTGTGTGAATGCAAATGGAACGAGGTATAAACACAATTAGTTTAATTAATTGAGTTATTTACATGAGTTTTATGTTTCAGTATGCTGATTATATTTCTTCACCAAACAACTTATATTAACCACCCTTTAAGTCTTCGTTCTGCTAGATATGACATTGACTTTTTGAGAGGAACAAGTGTTGTTGAAGGACCTCAACTTTAATTTGATCACCAATCAAAGATATTAACTTTGGTGTGATAATCATTTTGGTGTCATTTATTCATATAAATAATTTTATTTTGTAGGAAAACAAAGCTTTAAATGTAATATTTATCAGTTAAAAAATATGTCGGAGTATACTGTGTTGTGTTAATGCTATGAATTATTTTCATATATTGAGTTTGATAATGTCATCATTTCCATATTTAATGTAGTTAATTTAAATACAGTTATAATGTAATGCTATACAACATTAAATATTGTACTTACCATTTCAATATGATTATATGTTATCAAATTGACTTCTCTGTGTAACTGTCATGTGCACAGGTACACTGAAATTTGGGAGCACGGTGTTCTTGTAGACAGCAAGCCTTTAGACAGATGACTGAGTGAGCTGGAGAAATGTGGTGCCAAATTTTTTGTGATTATTACTGTTAATCTTACAGTCTTGGTGCAATTTTTATTTGTTTTTTCATATTCCTCTTTTAATGTTGTATAATAGCTGTTTTTGTATATACATTGAATGCAACGAAGTTTGAAGCTAGAACTTCATGCATACTACCTAAATCTCTCATCTAGACCAATCCTAATGTCTTTGTATTATGTATAGCTGGCGCTTTGCTGTGTCATGACTCACTCAAAGGTGAATTACTGAATTAGTTTATCATGACAAGCCATTCAAGGTTTTTTTTTAAGTAATTTTGTTTCCTTTTTGTCCCCAGTCACAGTAATGCTGAGAAAATCCTCATCATTCTCAGTATAAATTTTATTATTTGGAGCTTTGCAACTCAACTTTGAACCGGTTACATTAAAATTAAAGGAGTTTCTCAATACATTTTTTCTATATGTTTATTTTTTACACAACTTTAAAATTGGGAAAGGGGGACCTCATGTTAAACACATTCTATCTATATGTTAAAATACACTACTGGTAGAATCTTTTCGATAGTGCATTTTGACTACCATGATTTTTTTTTTTTAATATATATATTTTTGATAAACTTCCATATTTTAATGGGAGGATAGAAAAAATTTCCTAAAATTAATTCGAAGACCGTATTCATGTGTTGAAATCTTTTTAAGAGGGAAAAACATTACCGCTAGGCCATCATCATTGATTTATTGATGTGGCTCAAGCAATGATTCCCTCGTTCATAGAAGCTGAGAACTGATCGTCTAACTTTATTGCAGCAAATTTAGAGGAATTTTCTGTTTCTGATCCTTGGGATCTATCATATGGTCCAAAATATCTCATTATGAGTTCATTTTGATCCATTAATTAAAAAAAAAAATTATTCTTTTTAAGGGTGCTTTTCACCAAAGTTGTAACTACCATTAACATTTAAAATGATACCAACAAAGATGTTGTAAATGAAATATCTCTATTTTGCCAAAATAAATCCAGAGATTTACATAAAATGAGTGTTTTTTTATTGATTTTTGAAGGAATTTATTAAAGAATTTCCAAGTTTTACCAATGTGAAAAATATTTTCTTCATCGCCTATGTTTTAGGTATCATCTCTAGATATCTATGCTTTTGGATCAGAAATATATTTTCTGAATTGATGGGGTGACAATATTTTATGGCAGTGTATCTTTTGGATTCGAAAAGGCATATTCATTTTTTTTGGGCCAAATAAAGGACACATGCAACGTTTTTGTTTGTGTGATTATAAGTGCATCTTTAATTAAGGATGACAATGGGCAGAATATTATAGTATTTATTCTCTAATCTGGCGGTTTAAAAAAATTTTCGTATCTGAGTTCATATCCGTTTATTTTAATAGGTGATTGTTTGTGCTCGTATTAGTATCCATTTTGTAGGTAAATTTTGCAGATACCCACTAAAAATTATTATGTTAGTCTTTTTCGTTTAATAATTTAATAACTATTTTTTGAGTTTTTTTACTGCTGATTAAACAAAAAAGCGTTAACATAAGTTTTGAAAAATTAAAAAATCAATATAATACTTTTTAAATTAAGAAACAAAAATGAATCATAAAATTAACATACAATGATATGTATGTGATTACACTCCTATTGAAAAAATGTTTCCGTTTAGTTTTCATGGCTCGTACCTTTATCAAATCATTTGAGAGAAATTGGATTAAGAATAATTACTTAAGATTTGGAATATGAATGAGATGATGTGGCAAGGAGGCCATGGCAAGAGAAGAAAGTAGACGGGTTTCAAGATTTACTTTTCATTTTACTTTGAAAAACAAAAAACAAAAACAAAAGTTGCCATGTTGCATCATATTAATGATTTGATTACTTTTTGGGCTAAATTAATGAAAGGTTTGTATTTCGCGGGTTAAAGTTAGATAATCAACAATATAAATTGACTTATTCCATTGAAGTAGAACAAATACAAAGAAAACGACTCAATTGTTAGAGTTTATAATACAAATGTTGTACGGTTGAAGGTAACAACTCTAAGCTTTAAACTTAAGAAAGGAAAATCTTGAACTAAAAACTATAAAATACTTGGCGTACTATGGTTATCATTATTTGTCAATCATCAAAGAAATTCGTTCAAATGTCACGTTGTTTTTAAAGTTTCTCACCCGTTAAAGGGGTTGCGCTAGAGACAAGTTGAGTCAAATAAACATTAGAAATTAGTATGTTGTGTATATTATTGCGGTTATGCTTAGATTTAACATCATAATTATTAGCTTAATAAAGTCAACTTTTAATAGTGTTCTAATATAGTTAATTATAATTCAGTTATGATTAGTTGGTTATTGATTATTTTCCTCTTTAATTCATAAAGGTGAATGTGTATATAGTTATTTCTAGTTTATTACGAATAAAAGAACATTTTATTATTAATTTCTATATCAAAATGTGGTCTCCTTGTACAATTTTTTTAAAGTTAATATAGTGTTAGAGCTTAATTGAGCTCTAATTGCCATTATTTTTCTTGCTTGTGGTTGTAAGAGTTAGACGTAGAATGTCATTTTTTTCTTTCTTGTGTTACTTAGACATCTAACATCTTTGTTTTAGTTTTTTAGAGATACTTATATTCCGTTTATGTTTTAGTTTTTTAGAGATACTTATATTCCGTTACAAATGGTGTATGTTAGTTATTGGTGAGTATAGGTTAAAAACTCCATATAACTGATCGTATCTTATTTTATTATAATCAATCAAAAGAGAATTTCAAAAATTATTCTATAATGTATTTTGGTATCCCATTCACCATTTCGAAGATGGTATCATAAAGTTTGGTTCTGGTCTCCGATCACGACAAAAGCATCACCTACTCCATCTCAATTGTCTTCCAATCATAAACTCATTATGGTTAAGTAGAAAAACTCAGGAAAAGCTTGATGAGAAGAACTTTTTTGCTTGTCTCCAACAAATTGAAATAACTTTAAATGCTCACAACCTTTGACGATTCTTAATCTATTTTGAAATTTCAAATTGGTACATTATTGATGTAATTAGGGTTATGTGATTGAGAACCCACACTTTTGCTCCTAGATTTAGTGAGACCAATGTTTTTTTTCCCTGAAATAATTAGTCCATAGATCCCTTAGCTTTAAGTGAAGTTTCGCTGTGGTCCTCAAACTAAAACATGTTACACAGTGGTTCTTTAACTTTTTTGCCGTTAAACTATTTGGTCTCTTCTATTAGTTTCAGTGAAAAAATGTTAACTATGATAGAGGTGGCATGCCAAGTGTGCAATTAGTATAGTGAACACTCAACTAAATAGTCAACACTTTACACTATGGAATTTATTTATTTTATCACAGCCACTCATTTCTTCTTCGATAAAATAAAATTTTATTCTTCTTCCTTTGTTATTCTCTAACTACAGCTATGGCCGATGAAGTGATTCTTCTAGATTTCTGGCCAAGTCCGTTCGAAATCAGACTCAGAATAGCCCTTGTTGAAAATGGTATTAAGTATGAGTACAAAGATGAAGACTTTACGAACAAAAGCCTTTTGTTGTTACAGATGAACACTATTCATAAGAAAATTCATGTTCTAATTCACAATGGCAAACCTATTTGTGAATCTCTTGTTGCTCTTCAATTTATTGATGAGGTTTGAAAAATCTTAAAAAAAACTATTGGAAAATACCCACTTTTATAAATCTCTCATGGCTGGAACATACCCACTTTTATGAATCTCTCATGACTGGAACATACCCACTTTTAAAAAATTTTAGAAATACAATTTATGACATTCTTATTCTATTTTACTGTTTTTCTAATTTATTATGGTGAAGTTATAAAGATAATTTATTTATTTTACACTTTCATTGTGAATTAGATCTATAAAACTGGAAGGAATATTTAGACATAAAAAAGGAGAAGAGCTAGAAGTTGCAAAAGAAGGAATTTATAGAAGTCCTCAAACTGCTAAAGCAAGAGCTGGGAGACAAGATTTATTTTGGAGGAGACAAACTTGGTTTTGTAGAGATGAGGAAGAAGATAAGCATTAAGTAGGTTGGGTATTACATTTTAATAATGGGTGAGTTTATAGTAATATTAAAATAAATAAATTCCACATCAAATATAAATAGTCCAACATGACATTTTTTAGCATTTTTCTAATATAAACTAACGGAAAAGACCAAACAGTGTAATGGAAGAGAAGTTAAGGGATCACTATGTAATATTTTTTAGTTAGGGGACCAAAAAGAGACTTCCTATAAAGTTAAGGGATTAAATGATGCATTAAGCTTTTTTTTCTTGACGTCATCCAACTATCTCGAGCTCCGTTATGACTCAAATTCTAAGCTACATTTATCCTTCACACCTATAGACACATATTCATGAACACTTCTAAAAAATTTCTCGTGCTCGTACACTCCAATTACGTACAAAAATACGTGCCACTATGTTTGTCGATTGTATCTTTGGTGTTTATCTTTCTCTTATAAAAATGCATCTTGACTCCCTAGCTTCTGTTGGTGATCTCATTCCACCTCAACAACACATTGATGTAATCCCTTAAGGCCTTCCACATTATTATGGATTGGTTATCTCTGTTATTGAGAGAAAATTTGTGTTGGTAGAAGTTGAAACATTGTTGATTGCTCGTGACATACATCTTTCTAAGTTTAACAAGAAGATCCAATTCGACGTGGACTCTACTAACCTCACATAATCCAAACCAAAGGTCGACGCTCTTTCATTAGCTAAGGATCCCTCTCATTCTCATTTTGCTACTAGTGGATTTAGTCCTTTCTTTCAATCCTCCTTTGATGGAGGCTTCTCTCGTGGAAGAGTTTGTAGAGAAGGAAGAAGATGTAGTAGAGGCATATTTATCAATGTTCAATGACAAGTTTCCTTTAAGTTTGGCCACATTGTGCCTCTATTTGTTATCATCACGTATATCTGTTGAATATCAAGGTTATTGTCAAGGTTCCT